CACCTTTACCCAAGTACATGGTGGCACTTCTGCTGTACTGCAGAAGACTCACCAGGACCCTTGTCTGGAGCTTCCCCACCTCCTCTCCCAGCAGACAGATTGATAAAACGTGAGTTAAATCTCAGCATAACCTGGCCTGATACTGGAAGAATGAGGCTATACACTGAAATAGCAAAAGAAATTAGCATGAAGTGGAAGAAGCTAGCTAAGTATCTCTGAGATAGGATGAAAGTGAATTACCCACAGCTGACCAAGAAGGCTGGAATACAACACAAGATAAGTAAGAATGCTTTAGGTCCTTTCTCAGGACATAGGACCTAACACATTGGCCAGGAACCAGGAGATAGGGCAAATTTGCTGCCAGGATGGCCTTTATGGACCTAAATCAAGTGATGGCCAAACAGTGAGTAAAATAAAAAGGTCAGCTAATAGGTGGGCAGGCTAGAATGGATATATCATGTATGAGTCAGAAAACCCACCTGAAGATTATGTTCCWTGGGAAGAGAGTAGAATGGACAATGTACTGCTCATTAAGAACCCCATGAACATGCTGGTGAAAAAGGCAATAGCATTACTAAGTTCTGCCATGGTCTCCTCCGCAGGCCTGAGTTGACAAGATTAGGCAGTCATAAATCTGGATTTGTTAATACCTATGTAATGATTTGCCAGCCAACTCCCTGAAACCCTGGTAACAGAAACCAGATAAGAATTGCTAAACCACAGAAGCTAAGAGGTCTCATATCATGACCAGTAAGGTGGAAGAGGGAGCTAAGGGAAACTGCAGAGATGCTTAATAGAACAGTGAGTGAGAAGTAAAATAGATGGATAGCCAACAAGGATGCTTCTTAACATCTAAAACCAAGAAAGGTCAAGAATGGAAGAGCACAGGAGGCTGAGGATGGTCACCCCAATAAAAGGCACAATGCTTGCTTAGTTCCTAAGCTTCAGTTAATAATTTTACCTACACAGGTCTTATTTGTCAAAATCTTTTAGTTCTCCTTTAAAATTAATTTAAATCCTCCATAATTCCACTTAGATTTGAACTTCAAAGGATATAAACCTCTAAATATCCTTTCTACTTGTATTAAAATGCTATTATGTCCTTCTGGTTACCACATGCTGTAGATCCGAGAAACTTAATATCAAAGGAAGGACTGTTAGGTAAACTGTATGTCAACAAGATTTCTACTGACCCCTCTCATAGCTGCCAGTTTTTAGAATATCACAAACAGGAAGAAAAGCAAGTAACTAAATATAGAATATTGCATGGATGATGATACTGATTTTTTAAATGGTCTATAATAAGTGATTTTTTTTCAATGATATATTTCAAGAGAAACATAAGATTTCAAGTTGATCTTTGAGAAGCAAAGAGTTGAAAGTGTAGAAATTAAAGAGAGAAGTGGGTTTCTACACAACATTCAAGTGGACAACAACTATGGAAGTGAACACAGATTTCAACTTTTTATAGAATAATTTTAAAGCATATACACAAATAAATTAAAATAGAACATTCAGCAATATGACATGTTTCCTTAGATGTTTATTAAAAGCTTCAATTTCCTATAGACATTTGATAAATATTGTGTTTTCCCCTTGTTTATTTGGGAAAGTTCAAAAAGGATAGTGAAAGCTATTTTAAGTACATTACTAAAATTTAGCTAGAATAAACTGTAGTGTTATACAAATACAGAAGAACACAGATAGGTTACTGATCCATAACTATTTTAAACATTTTGTAATTTTCAAAGGCCATGTTGATATGCCTATGAAAAAGGTAAAGGCAAAATAAAACTTTGGACTAGAGCAGTGGCATATACTTGTAAACCCAGCAACTCAAGAGGCTGAGGAGATTTACAAGTTTAAGGCCAGTCTGAGCAACTTAGTGAGACACTTTCTCAAAATAAAAAATAAAAAGGGCTGGGGATGTAGTTTGGTGGGAAAGCACCCATGGTTTCAATCCCCAGTACCAAAAAATAAATAAATAAATACAAATGAAAACAAGAACTTGAGACCTAAGTATCCACCGTGGCTAAGTGCCCAAATCAGTGAGACAGTTTATGGTAGAGAGTCACCTGCAGAGCAAGCAAACCCAAATAAGCACCAAATGTCCACCAAGTAACAGGTGACTTCTTATAGCTATTAAATTTAATCCTCAGAAAAACATTTATTATTATTATACTTCTTTGTCAAAAGTGGAACTAGGTTTTGAAAAACCAAGCAGCTCTCTGCACATAGTTATAGGCAGAGACTATAGATTTAATCCAGATCTTCTGATTCTAGCTGTAGTATTTGTTCTACTTTGGCAAACCTTTCTTGTAAAAAGCCAGATAATAAATATTTCAGGTTTTGCAAGCTGCAGAGTCTCTGTCCACACTACAACCTTGTGATAAGAAAACAGTTATAGATAACGTGTTAATAAATGGATCTAACCAATGTTCCATAAAAATTCATTTACAAATATAAGTGGTGGGAAGAAATCAATTTGGCCAGTGTTATGGCTTGCCAATCCTAATATACATTAAAACATTAATATACATTAAAAATTACTAAGGGTCTACACTCTAAAGATTCTCCTTTTCTGACCTTCAGAGTTATTTTTCATTTCTGCTCTGCTTATTCTACTGAACACTCAACAATTATTATGACATCATATATTCATCTTCCCATTTCCAACTCTGCCCTAGTGCGCTGGGCTGCCTCTAACACCAATTCCTTTTATTTTTTATTTTTTGGATAAACACTTTAAGGTATCTTTCTTTTCTTTTCGTTTCTTCCTTTTAATGTGAATACCAATACTGGAAAAATGTTTTTTTTTTTTCTCCTACTCTTAGTAAAAATACCTTTTTGGAACCTCAAAATGGAAAAAGAATGCATTCTTAAAATTTTCAATATCCTCACTGAATATTTTTAAATGTTAATGAAAACTTGATACTGCTTTCTATTTTCCAAGGTGCTAATATCTGTGCAACAGTGTCATCTTTGTAATCTTCCATGACTTAATTATATATATTTCTCCAGGACTCAAAACATGTCTTGTTAGATATCATTCTTTTTATATATACATATGCATTTATTTTTTTAGGTGTAGAAGGACACAACACAATGCCTTTATTTTTATGTGGTGCTGAGGATTGAACTCGGGTCCTGCCCGTGCTAGGCAAGCGCTCTACCGCTGAGCCACAATCCCAGCCCCAAATATCATTCTTTTTTGGGGGGGTGGGATGGGACTGGGGATTAAACCCAGCAGTGCTCTACCACTGAACTACATCCCTGCCCTTTTTATTTTTTATTTTGAGACAGTCTTGCTAAATCACTGAGGCTGGCCTCAAACTTGTGAATCTCCTGCCTCAGGCTCCCTGATGCTGGGATTACAGGACATATGCCACTCACCATTTAACTTACTCCATTTACTTTGAAGCAAATTTTGAAGTATTATTATAGAGAAACTGTCTTGTCCAGATCACAATTCCTTCTCTTCAACAAAATAATAAATAAGCAAGGAATGTGCTAGGTATGCAGAAAAAGAAGGTAAATAAAATTTCACTTCTTTGCCTCTCTCTCTTATCCTCTTTATTAATCCCTGGCCTCTGCCAAAACTCACAAACTTAGATAAGCAATTGTGAAAAGCTTCTTCTCCTGCTGTGGCTCAGGTAGCTTTATCCCCCTAAGGTCTGTGCTTTGTTGAACTGAAAGCTGCACTTAAAATTAGATTAGGGCTGAAGGTTTGGCCCTAATAAAATAAATAAAGTGCATGCCTAGCATGCACAGGGCCCCTGGTTTCAAAGGAAGAAAAAGGGTAGGAGGGAGGAAGGGAAAGGAAAGGAAAAGAAGAAAGAAGAAGAGGGAAGGATGGAGGGAGGGGAAGATAGTAGACCAAAAAAAGCCAAACAGAAACAAAACAGGAAAGCCAAACAGGACATGAAGGTCTCTGGTCTTGTGTTGCTCATCTGTTGCTTAATTCTCCAGAGACTTAGCTATAGGAGGCTACGGTTTTGGATTAAGCTCCTGTATTGGGCTCCAAAAGACCAAGCTAAAAAATCAAAATGGAGTCATACTAAAGTTCAAGATCATCAAACCAAAACTAAATTGTTATCTTCTTTTCCCAGCAATCAAGAGACAGAGAATAACCAAATATTTCAAATAGACCATTTTGGATTGGCATAATAATTAAGTTCTGAATGTTTTAATCCTCACCCCCCCACCCCCACAACACACACACACACAACATGGTGATAATCAACCAGTTATTTTACTGTTGTTCTATCTTCCTTTGCCTGCCTTATAAGAAAGTAAAATAACTAATAGTCTTTGTTCTTTGCTTCTGCTTTCTTTGGCTTTTCTCTTTARAATCAACTCCTCTGCTCAGTTCATATGCTTAGTCTACTTTATGGAATGAAGTGTTGCTCAGTTTAGGATCACAAAATAAAACCAATCAAGATCTTTAAATTTGTTGTGATTTTTTTTTTAACATCAGTATTTCAAATAACGGTCAATATAAAGTCAGGATATATAAATATAAATATATATTTATATATTAAAAAGTCAATATAAAAAATAAACTTATTATTCTGTTACTAATTGCTGTTCTAAAAGTTTTTTTAATTTCCTCTAATAATTATAAATTCCTTAAACTCAGCTTCTTTTTCTGCTTCTATTTATTTATTTACTATATGCCTTTCATTTGTCATTGTTCTTTCTTCATATGGTCAGTACATTGTATCTACTGGCCTTTCCTCACCTAATTTTAAAAAGATGATAATATTAAAGTGGATTTTATTAGATTAATTATGTTACTTGATAACAGTCATTTCTTCAATATATGATTTAAGTTTTTTAGGTCAGCTGGTTGATATACACAGCTGCCCTATTATTTTCAAAGAACACATTCAGTAGTTTAAAGAATTTTTAATTTCAAGTAAGGATTACAAAAAAAAAAAAAAGTTAGGAGTCAGAGCCTAGGAGAGTTGATTGGGCAAGATTTCCTCAGCCCCACCTACCTCTGCAAGCAGATCATGTAGCTCTCCTTCACTAGGGCAGCATCCTAATGACCTGATAATTGTCCCAATTTCTCTGGGGGAAAAACAGAACAAAACAAAACAAAACCACTGTCAATAGTTTGAGAATAAACTCTTAAAAGGCAAGTATTATATAAATTACCCAGTTAAATAATTATCTCAATGATTCCAGATCATAGGTAGCATAGAAAACCAAATCACTCTCAAATGGGGCCTTCATTTATTGCCATCCATCCAAGCTGGCAACCTATGCTGGGTTCACAAAATCTGACTACTTCAATAACTTAAGAAAACCATGAAAAAAGCACACAAGCACACAGAGGTACCTTTTCAAAATCCGGGGATGGCTCTGTGACCCTAGGGGTTCATAGAAAGAGAAAGAGTCACAGGAATTCTTTATCTTATATAGGGGACACACTAGGGGAGTTTCCATGAAACATTCTATCCAAAAAAGGGCAAAGGGTAGGATTACAAAGGGACAAGGAGGCAGCCTACTCCAGTTGGGCAACACCAACTCCCAGAGCTGCACCTTTCAATCCGAGCAGAGGCAAGTCCACTTGCATTGCAATAGGTGTGATACCAGTCCAGTACCTCTTTACTCAGGACTTAAAGGTGTGGGCACAGCTCCTATCCAGGGCGGCCCCCAACACTCATGGTTATAAAAGATATTTTCTGGGGAAAGGAAAAGGCAAACAAATGAACCAAAGAGAGATGAAAGAAATGTTTTCACTGACTGGCGTATGCAAACCTTTCCTGGGCCAAAATTAAAAAGTCCTAGAAAAGGAATAAAAAGAGAAAGAGGGAGAGCAAGAATAAGAAATGCCCACCTCTTGCCAGCTGATTTTAATTGTTACTTACTTAACTCTTTGGTCCTGAGTTTTCACATCTGTAAAATTAGGATGCTGATATCTACCCCCAGAAGTTTGTGGTGAAGTTTACATTAGTGATAGGAGTAAAATGGAGGAGTATTTTAAAGGAGGGTCTGTAGTGCCACACTGCCAGGGGCCAAATCCTAGTTCTACAACCTGCCAGAGCAGGTGGGTACCTGATTACGTCTCCTAGTAGGTAGAACACTGCATCTTTTTCCAAACACTTAGAACTGAACTGAAGACACACTAAGAATCAAATATAATACTATACAACCATATATGTAATACATATTATATAATACATACAATATAGTATATATAATCTAATATATATATATATACATATATATATATATATATATATATATATATATAAAATAACTACTATAACATGAAGCACAGCTCTTGGGAGAGTAGCCATGCAAAAAATTACTCCTTTTCCCCTCCCCTACATTGTTGTATACAATGTAATTCAGTTCAACAAATAATCTAAGAAAAGTATAAATTCTATTTAATGATCTCTGGTTATAAAGATCAGAATTTATATTCAAATTAAATAACTTCCACTAAAAATTATTAAAATTAAGGTCATAGTATTTGAATACTAACTTAACACAATTTCCCTTAAATAGAATATTTCTTTATCATTCTGGATAAATTTAGTGGAATTTTATTTACTCCCTATTTTACTGGGAAAACATTTTAAATAAGAATTTTTGTATTCTTCAAGAGGTTGCAGAATGAGTACAAACTTAACAGAAAAACCTAAAGTCAATAACTATGGAAGACAGGATTATTTTCATTAATATTTTCCTTCATAATAAATGAAAGTAAAACAAAACATAAAGGTCAACTGTATTTCATACCTCCTATGAGTAACTATAGTCATAGTTTTTTGTGTTATTTTTTATGTCTATATCCCAAACCTAAGCAGAATCTGAACATGATAGTATTACTGGAAACTAAAAATATTTCTAAGATTACACTTTCTCTCAATACATCCCTAGAGGTGTTCTGTGAAAATGGACAACAGCAATGAAGTAAATATGCTATGTGAAACTTCAGACTGGCCACTGTATACATGATAAAACATAGATAATGAGGCAGGGACAAAAAAAAATGTGATTTTTGTAAGGATAGACTTTCTCCTTTACAACATTCTAGGCCTCTTAGCACATTGACTTACAGAACTGCTTAAAACTTCAGAGTCAGAGGGACAAGCTAAAGCTGTGTTAACTTACACAACAAAAGGGAGGACAGGAAAGGCAGGTAGGAAAGAGACCTCATAGGCCTTGCAGGCAAGAATTTTGAAAGAGGTAAATGGAAGAAAAAAGTTCTAGGGGCTGGGGATATGGCTCAAGTAGTAGTGCCTGGCATGCGTGAGGCACTAGGTTCGATCCTCAGAACCACATAAAAAAATAAAATAAAGATATTGTGTCCACCTAAAGCTAAAAAATAAACATTTAAAAAAGAAAGAAAGAAAAAAAGTTCTAGGCCTGTGCTTTCCAATATACTAGCCACTAAACTGTATCTGGCTATTTAGCATTTGAAATGTTACTAGTCCAAAGTGAGATGTACCAGAAGTAGAAAATGTGCACAGATTTCAAAGATAATATAATGCCGGGTTTCTAAAAGGCAACGGGTCACTCCAGTTGAACTCCACTGACTGGGCTGCACAAAATAACCACACAAGAGACACAAATATTTTTTTCTTTGGGGTCTCTGTGACAGCTCCTCTGACCTTAAGGGTCCGCAGGAAGAGAGAGAGAGAGAGCACGCGTTGACCCCTTTTATTGAGGAGAAGCTATTCAAATGAGGCAAGAGGTCAGATTTCAGGGGGGCTGAGTCTATCTTGTTGATGTCCCACTGACAGCAGGTTGACTGACATCTAGGTAGGCCACACCCAAGGGCACAGTAAGAAAAGGGGACACACACAAAGCACTTCCATGAAACAATCTAAAACAGGGCAAGGGGTTATATTACAAAGGAACAGGTGAGCGTAACTCCACCAATGGGGATGTAGGAAGGCACGCCCAGGCACAAAGACACAGTCACTCGAATCCTAGAAGAGCGGGGCAGTCTAGCAGGATGGGTGCCTGAAGCCACATCGCACAGGGGAGTTAACTCAGTCACGTGCAAGGTTGGTCTCCCACAGTATAAAAAGACAATGTAAAATATTTTATTAATATTTAATAGTGATTACAATATTAAAATGACATTTTAGACATTCAAATCTTAAACCTATTAGGTTAAACTAGACATAAAACTGTTAAATTAACAGTGCCTATTTCTTTTTTTACTTTTTTTTTAAATTGCTATTAGCAAATTTAAAATTCAATGTGTAATACTCCTTTTGAATAGTGCTTTTCTAGGGAATATCTGCCATCCTGAACTAGACTTTGAGAAGAGTGATAAAGAGAAAATTATAATAACATCATGCTGTGTAACAACATAATCCCCCTTGTGCCTCTCTGAGAAACTTCAAACAATATTTTAATTGTCCATGGAAGGAGTGGAATAAAATTTCTAAGTAGTGTAACTACAGTTGATAATAATTGATTATATATTTCCAAACAGCTACTAGAGAGGGTTCTAAATGTTCCCAATACAAAAAAGTGATATTTGAAGTTGTATATATACCAATTACCTCCATCTGATCACTACACATTGTACACGTGTGTTGAAATATCACACTGTATCCTATAAATATGTTTAATTATTATTTGTCAATTAAAATTTGTTTTTTGTGGGGTTGGGGATATAGCTCAGTCAGTAGAGTGCTTGCCTTGCATGCACAAGGCCCTAGGTTCAATCCCCAGCACAACAACAACAAATTTTTTTTTTTAATTTAAGATAAAGCCTAGCTCGCTCGCTCGCTCTCTCTCTCTCTCTCTCTCTCTCTCTCCCCCCCCTTCTCCCTCTCTTAAAAAAAAAAAAAAAGATAAAGAAAAGATAAAGCCTAGCTTTGTTGCATAGGCTGGTCTTGAACTCCTCAAGTGATCCTCCTGCTTCAGTCTCCTGAGTAGCTAGAAATACAAGTACATACTACTGTATCTGGCTCTATGTCAACTAAAAATTTTGATAATTTTTTTAATTTAAATTGTTTTTAATGCTTTTTGTATACTGGACTGTGATTTCTTGATAATATATTTATTTCTAATATATTCATATAGTGAACTCAACTTGGCCATTCTATATGCAAGTTAAGTACTATATATGAGATTATAACACAAATTTCCATACTTTAACAACTAATATTTTCTCTTTTTTAAATATTCTTTTAGTTGTTGATGGACCTTTATTTTATTTATTTATTTATATGTGGTGCTGAGAATCAAACCCAGTGCCTCACACATGCTAGRCAAGCACTCTACCACTAAGCTACAATATTTTCTTAATATCTGATTTGTATAATATTTGGAAAGTACTTTCACATATACCATCTTACCTGATCTTCATTCACTTCTTCTCCATCCTAGGTATCTAGGAATATTATCTCAATTTACAGATAAAGAGATTAAAATTAAGTATAAATGATTTAACCATGGTTACATAGCTAGCAAGTAGCAACATTAAAGTTAAAATGCATTTTTAGTAATTCCAGATCATATTCATTCAACATAATGAATATGAGTACCTACTATGTGCCAGAGACTAGGTTAGGTGCTAGGGATACAGAAATGAATAAGATAAAAATTATCCTTTCTCTCATGGAATTTATGTTCTAGTGGAGAAAACTGACAAACAGGCAATTATAATAATAATAATAATAATAATAATAATAATAATAATAATAATAAAAACTGGGCAAAGGGCAGTGGTTGGTAAAAGGTATCATGGGGATACAGAGAAGGCCCCTAACCTAGACTGGGATTGCAGATCCCAGGAGTAGCTTCCATCAGAATTGACTTTTGAATTACTTAAAAGCATACATAGGAAAAGAAATGTTTCAAGCAAAGGAGACAGCATACTTCAGGCCCTAAGTTCACTGAGATCACTTGCCATTCAAGGATCAAAAGAAGTTCAGTGTGGCTGGAATATAAGGTTTAAGACAGGAAAGAACAAGAAAGTAAACCAGGGCTGGGGTTGTGGCTCACTGGTCAAGTGCTCGCCTAGCATGCATGAAGCACTGTGTTTGATCCTTAGCACCAAATAAAATTATAAATATTGTGTCCACCTAGAACCA